GTGTCAACTGCGTATTGTAATTGTATCAGAGAAACTGTCGAAGAAAGAGTTTACGAATCACCAATTGGTTGGCGAGAAGTAATCTCAATTGCTGAAAATCTAGATCCGACTATGACTAGTATTTTAACAAAAAAGTAAGAGCCGATTTGTAACCTAAAATATTATACCTACTTCCATTAATAATATTCATAAAATGTTTAAATTGATGTTATTTTCGGCTATTTTTATCTGAAACGTCATTTTTGATCCRAGTTTAATTCGACCTGCATATTAAATTTATATAAAAAGTGCAATTTAACTATTCACATAACAGTGAAATATCATATTATAGGCATTATAGGCGGTCGTAAAACATCAAAAACATGAAATGGGGAAACTTTTATGAATTACCCATTGACTGAAATAATCATTTTACATGATATGTATTATTATTATATTATTATACCAAACGAGAGGTATACTTGTGTATACTATATTGTACATTAGTATCACTAGTGTTATTATTATAATTTAAATTAACAACGACATGATATGTTGCATATTATATCGTGTTGTCGAGTGTCGACACATAGCATGCATTATTTATTACCGAAATGGCAATAAATTATTATCACAATAATCATGCTGTTTCGATAAAGGTTTTTAGGATCGTATCCAAATACATACACGCTGACAAAATTACTCGCTGAACAAATAATTAACGAAGAACGAAATAACATACCGGTGGTGATATTTAGACCATCAATCGGTGAGTGTTCTCAAAATGCACGTTATTTTAATATTTTATTTTATTTGTTTGAAATTGTTTATCACGGGTGCTCAATAAATATTATATAAAATCGGTAAACAAAAATATTAATTTTAAAAATGATGAAAATATGAATTACGTTACTGGTAAAGGRCCTGTTTCAAAAGACGTCTCTTCATCAGATGTCATCTGAAAACATATTTATTTTAAAAATGTAGATATAAGGCTGTTTTTTTCTCTTGAAATATCTTAATAAGCAATCTGTTAAAATTTTAAACAATAAAATAATGACATGGAAAGCAGTATGAAAAATGCTCTCAATGGAGGGGTACTTCGAACAAGAGTGACTTGAAGTAAAATATAAGTATTCTTAAAATAATTAAATTTTAATTGGTTTCTTTACAAATGTTTTGTATGTATGATTCCCACAGGCTATGGGTCATTTACATTAACAGTATTGATGGACTATATAAATTCATAATCAGATAACTACAGRTTTTATAATCAAAAATTGATAATTTCAAKAATATATTAACTAACTCCCCTGTGTTTCCTTTTTAGAATAAATTTGAGCTTTGAAATCGAATGAATACTTTTGGAAAGCTTTATAGGATTTTATCGATCAGTCTGAAACATTTATTTATCGTGTTGTGTAAATAATGTATAAGGGTATCTACAAAATAATTTAAAATCACAATAGCATATTATTGTCCATATTATTATTTACACAAAATACCTACCAGTTGCCATTCTCTATATTTTCCGCTTTTCATCTATAAGTTCTACATGTAGTGCTGAATATACATAATTTTTAAATTATATTTAGGTATGCACCATAATTTGTTGTTTTTCTATCATTCGAAAATAACCATACAAATATTCGAATCACGTTTATAATATAAAAATTCTCAAATATTTGAACAGCTTAAAATTTTATTTGAATGGACTTATTATTTTAAAAGTATATTGAATCCTCAAATATTTTATTACAAACTGTGTACAATTTTTACAAAATTAATATAAACTATAAAGTATAAGTTTAAAATTAAATATAGATATGTGACTACTCTTGAGCTTTGTTTCGAACACTCTAGAAAATAATAAGATAAAGCTGAGCCGGTATTTTATTTGTCGAAATGTAATATTATATACCTGACGAACGTTTTATATATTTGAATAAGTAATTGCGACAAGACTGAGGCGAGTTACCTGAAAAATAATAATAAGTACCTACCTACACTTTAAAGTTCTTTTTTTTATTTGTAAAAGCTGAAACTTCAGACATTTTTAATCAGATACAGTTCATGATAAATTATAAAGGCAGGTAATGGTAAACAAAAAMAAAAATGTATAATTAAAATGATACCTTAAAGTGGTCGATGGACAAAATAACAGAAGTTTAAGCCATTCAACGATAGAAATGTATACAATTATACTAACAGAAGTTATTAATTATTTAGGTTGATTTATGATTAGTTAGTTATTTAAGAGATCACGGAATCGACGTCTCTTCAAGCGTCTGATTGTGTTAACTGATAATGTTATCGTTGAGAGATTTGAAACTAATGTATTTGAATACATTTATAATAATTAATTGTCCAAGGAAAACTTTATTAAGAATTTAAAATGTGAAGTTACTGATAATATTATTTTACACTGTTTGCAATTTTTATAGAATTAATATACAATTTCGTATAGACATGACGTGAAACCTTCTTTTTGTTCACTTCAGAAAATAATAAGCTAAAACTTAGTAGCTATTTTATTGTTAGTAGTAGGTATATTTTACGAACATTATATATATTTGTTATTTGATTAAGTTATTGYGACAAGGCTGAGTAAATTAACTAGTTTTAATTTTTAATTTTTAAGTTAATATCATACTATAAAAATTAAGTTAAAAGTTTAAAATTACTTTTTTTTCCTCATAAAGCTACACGTTTAATAATTTTTAGACGGTTACGTTTTTTTTTTTTCAAACTAAATATTTTCAATCTGTGACGTTCTAAGACACGATATGAAAATTTCATAAAATATAAAGTTAAAAGTAGTATATCTAGGTAGATAATCTTAGTAAAGACACATAAAATACCTTCGGGTAATTATTAGACAGAAGAACACAAGTGGTGACCATTATACGATTGAACTGACAGAATCCTATACTACAAATAATTATAAAAAAAAAATTTGAAATACAATTTAATTTCGTGTCACAATTGTGTTAGTGATGAGGGCCAAAAAGTACCTATATATTATGTTACTTTTCTAACTTATCTTCTGATAATCTTAAATTGAAAARTAGAATCTCGATAATCCAACAGATATCAAACAAGGGTACTAAATCAACAAATAAACTCTCCGAGTTTTTGTAAAATCTCTTAAGTMTTTAATAACATTGTTTGTATAATTATAATTGTATCATAATAATATTTGAACTAACAAATAAAAAGAAGTCAAGTCAATAAATTATAATAAATAATAGAAATATATTTCATTCGGGTAAACATTATGATGCGTTTCAGACAAAAAAAAATCCCGAATTGATATAAGTACCTACTACGTTTTTTTTATACCTACCCATTTTTTTTTTTTTTTTTTTTGGGAACGCAATAACTAGTGTTAATTTTCGGTTTCAATCCCTTCGAGCTACAATTCACAACAAGCCCAGAAGGAACATTTTCGTGTTTGTAACATAAGTAAGTAGGTACGATAGGACGCTTATACGTCAACGACTGTTGTTATCATAATGAAAACAGAAAGAAAACACACCGTACGASATACAAATTTGAATAATATCCTAACCAAACATAGACAGCGTACACGAAAAACAAATTATGCAAATTTACAAAATCAGGCTTAAATGAATTTAAAAAAATAGTTTTCAATCTTGCTGTTAAGCGAATTTGGTTTCACATAACTCAACCTAGTTAAAACCGTATGAAATATAACCTCAGTCAGTCAGTGTGATTGTCTATACCGGCAGGGGTCGAATTTATAATAATTCATATTTGCATTKTCGTGTAATTTTACTTGTGAACTATGTTCGATAACTATAGATAAATATCTACTAAATAGCGTTGGTTCATTTTTAAAAATATTGGCTAGGTAGATATATATTTTGTAACTGTATCCGGTAAAAAATTAATCAAATCAAACACAATAATAAATATTTATAATGCATAGTTGTAATAATATGCATAATATAACTCCAAGTTCAACTATATTTCTTATACAAATGAAAATTGTTTTCCTAAACATTTATTATATCAACATATTATGCTTATAACTACTTMAATTTCTTCAAATAAGCATATAAGGTGTGTTATTCTCTAAGTATTTTTGGTACCTATCATGGTATTGTTTTTTAAAAATATTAGTATACAATATTTTCTTTATTTTTAATACTGATGGTATTATGGCCGGTGTTATTGAAAATATCATACCACGCTAATTATTACCAACCATATGGTATTGTGACTGAAAAGTAAATCAAAAATTGTCTTAACTACTTTTTTCAATACGAGTTTATTTGTGAGCCATGTGGTAAACTATTCATTAGGTATATTAATTTGATCAGTATTAATATTTTGTGTTTGAAATGTCTGGATTAAATAAATAGATAGGTAACATTATGTATATGTTATCGTTATGTACTTATATACATATAACATTCAGCTTAGTAACGTAGCTATGGGGGTGTTTTGATTTTGTACAACGATTCCCCTCTCAGTGGCTGTATTTGTTCAAAAAATGTATTTACCAAGAGATTCAGGGTATATAAAAATATACCCTCAGAGAGGGAGTAGAAAGTAGGTTTCAGAACATACCTACCTTTTTATCCTCAAATACATGATTAAAAATTAATACTGAATTCTGAAATTTGAAAAGAT